AATTGTTATTTAAACGGTAAGTTATTTTGCCAGATCGATATTCCAGGGGTTTGTGGCAACAAGGGAACATGGGCATTTACTAGTAAGGGGAAGTCATTTTTGGATTAATTAAAGGGAGTAAGGGATATTTTTACTATTAGCGCAAAGCGCAAAGTTTTGGCAAAAAATCCAGGAAATAATGGAATTTATTACACGACTAAGTTAGTTAGAGGGCCAATAACAACCAATCAGATCGCTCCATTGCCGGTTCAATATTCTCTCCGGCAGTATTAATGCATTGGACCGGGCATTGTCCCGAATGATCCCGCACGATCACTCGTGAAGATTAGTTTTGGCTACTTTATGGCTTACGACTCTCAAAGAACTTCCTTTAAACATAAAAGATTCCTTTTCTTTTTCTACCAACCCTCTTTCCCTTCTGGTTTGTGCAACATCACACGTGAGCACTTATTCTCCTTTATTTTCGTATGTCTTTAAATTCGCGATTTTCGCTATTTTGAAAAAGTCGCGAACTTAAAGACCCGCGAAAATTGCTGTCGATCGAGAAATGTAATGTCTTCCCCCTAAGGATCCATTTGAAGATCTGAAGGTTCTATTGAGATTCCCTAGAGCGGACTTGTAACGATACTCCCGATACTCGATAATGACTCGGAAGAACAAAAAGACTTTTTTATTTATTACTGCAAGACTGACTTTTAGAGGAATACAGCTGCCGAGTCAGCGACAGCACATTGGTTTTGTTGCAATTGTTGATCGACGTAAGTTTTTGTAAAAAAGAAAAAATAAAGACATTGAATCGTCAATTTCGCGAAATTTAGTTCACTGCAAACACAATATTTTCTCCCCGATCGCGAACTAAAAGACTCGCGAAATGTGCCGAGAAAATTTTCGTGAAATGTGAAGTCCTGCGAAAATAAAGGAGAATAAGGCGGCTCCCAATGGGAATTCACGCTTTTTCCATGCAGTCCTTGATCGTGGCCTTTTTTCCTGATTATTTCAGTCGCGTAATAAATATCTTATCTACCAAGCTTGCTCGGGACCGTACTGGAAGAATATCGGCCCTCAGTCTTTCTCTCAGCATTCTTTTTAACAAGACCGTTTTGAAATGCAAGGCCTCTTCTATTAACCTTCGTAAATTTGCGAATCACGTCCGTACGTCTTTTGAGCCTCATGCTCCGTCCTTTGTCATCCTCTTCTATTGTCGTACCACTACAGCAACAACAACAACCGCCACCTTTATTTGTACACGTACTTACAAAAACGTACCTTTGATATCCTACTGAGCCATGTATTTCTAACTCTTTCATGAGCCTTTTTCTTAATCATCAAAGGAGCTCAGTCACGGTATTTTAGTTTATTTAGGCCGTGTGTAGAATTACCTTTAAATTGAAGGAAACCTGAAAACAGTAGTTCGCTTAGATGGGAAAACACTCAAGACGTTAAAATGAACCATAAATAAACAAGGTTGGTTAAGGATGAAGAAGATTATCACGGATTACAAACAACGAACTTAAAAAATTTAGGCTAAGCTTTTCAAGATGCACAAATTAAACCAGGACGTAGCTCCTTTAACCTTGGAGCCGCGAGCCATAGTACATACTTTTTTTTATTTGACTAGGGACATCCGAAATCATGATAGTCGAAATATTGTTAAGTTTGGTTGAACGCTGGTGCGGAAAGACTTGTCTGTTTAATTTGTGAGGGATTTACTTAGGATCTTCTCACTCACGTATACAGTACAACGGTCACTGATCAAAGCGTCGGGAACAGATCGTGATCGTGCTTGCTCCTTTTTTATGAGGACTGGACACATACGTCATCGAATCTGCAGAAACGCTTGGCTCGATTTCCACCGTTCTCTCGAGTCCGGTCCACATTCCTCCCTGAGTTTGGCGGGAGGCGCGTGGGCTCTTTTGTCGAACAGCTGCGGCTGATAATCGAGCCTGCAGAAACGGGTAGTCACAGACCGAAGTCCTGAATACGAAATGCCAGTCAAAACCAAGAACGAAAAGTTTAGGCCAAAACGTTGCACCATGTATTACAAAGTAGCTAAGGGGTGAAATGCAAGAGTAAAAATACGTACACATTTACATTTATACATGGCAAAGGTTGTCCATCCCGCCACGGAGTGCTGGTACAGGTGCATGTGATCAAGTTAACAAAATGCAAAGTAATACTATGATGTGCATGGTGCTCTTACAAAAAAACGAAAAATAAATAAATAAATAAAATTGTCAAATGTTAAAATGTTCCCGTAGGGCCAGTCTGAAAGGGGTTTGAACTGGCGTATGTTGGATATGATTTTTTCTAACAAGGCTTGCGTAATATGAATTTCGGCACCAAAATACAAACAGTAGAGACGCCGTCTTTTTCCTTCAACGCCAAGTTAATTTACCTTTTTACTTTTGTGAATGTCGGTTATAGAAGCAAAGTGTTGTTCAGGCAACTCCACGTTTTAATAAATGCTTATTCACCTATACGTGTTTTTAATCGAAGACGGTTTTATTAAGAACTTCAGTATGAAGTTCGAACATGAAGGAAAATAAATTATAACAAGTGAAAAACAATACTGAAACTTAATAGGCCATTATTAAACAGGGTCAAACAGGAACAGTTTGTAATGGAGGCTCATGCAGCCGTGCGGAGGAATATCATTAAAAAGAGGTATATGTAATTTGCATTTGAAAAGACTCCACGCATTAGGTTCAGTTGGAAGCTCGTTCCAGGCCTATACCGAGAATACGAAAATGGCCTATTACTTTGAAGACGTTTTCCCCTGGTAATACGTTTGACTGCTTACTAGAGTAACCTTAACAAGCGTGACTAAAAACCACGAAATGTTATAGAGGAAATAATTCCAGGAAGGACCGAGAAGCCAATAGTTGACTTTCTTAAAAACTAAAAGTGTACAAAAGTACACTAAACTGATCGTGCTATGGCAACGAAACCCAAAGGCGGTAAACGCGCGCGCGAAAGGTAAACAATTACTTACGTTTCTCGGGTCGCTTTTGTGAACATTTAACTGTAATCGTCCTCCCAAGATGAAGGTAAAAAAAAAATTCTACTTGACAAAAAACTGTTTATTCTGTGCAATGAATTGAAAAAGCAATTCGCCGAAATTAATTCGTGAGCGGGCCATCTCCGCGGTCTGTATTGCAAAATATGAACCGCTAAGGCAACCCATCAGAATTCTTTTTTTCATGCCGGACCTGTTCAAGCATACAATAAATCTAATAACTTTTCACACGTAAATGGAATCCACTGAGCACCTGAAACGCTTGATCAACTCTCCAGCCATTTTATTTTAAAACTCTCGATTTCTTAACATTTTACTATTTCTAGCTACTTACAGGTGAAACTTTATTTAACGACCTCTGGCTCGGTCTCATTCCCACACTGTCTCTTCAGTCTCAGGAGGCGTAATTAAGAAACAGCCTGGGAGCGAGGGTAGCCCCGTGTACTCTTCAACTACAATGTGTGAATTTGCATTCTCGTGTTCCTAATATTTCATTATAGGCCAAGAAGAGAGGATGATCCGTTGTGAGACAAATCACCAAAAGCCTTACACCTCTCAATTTGAATTTCTAGTCATGCAACTGCTCAATCAATTAGAATTGTACAGAACATTTCTACCCTTCCGACGGGTAAGTCCCATTTCAGTCACTCCTTGGAGGCCATGCATTTGGGTGGTCATTGTAACGCAACGATTATCGTTGAGTCACGAGATTGCGTGACGACAACTACAAAGGAAAATGGTTTCAAAAATATCAATAAGATCCTATTACCTAAGAAATCTTTAAAATTTCAAGCAATAACCAGAAGGTATTTCCACCTTATTGTACAAAAACGCACTTCAAATTTCAAACAATAAAAATAAGCTTTTTGTGCCACTACACCCCTGGTTGAATAAAGCTAACTTCATTTTAGGACTATATCGACTTTTGATATATAATAATTATTAATAATAATTCACCATTTCCTACAGGATCTGAAGAAACTGGCTAAGGGATGGATCAGTGATGGGAGGGGGTGGGGGGTGGGCAATTACCTCCAAAAAATTCCTGAACAAGATAAAGTGACAAAAAAATAAACTGGTGCACAGCGAGCCACGCATGACACATATGAAGCTAATGGAGAAAAAATTCTTAAATGATCGGACCCTAAAAAAAAAAGCATCTTGGTCAGAACAATTGCCCTTGCCCACTTCTCCCCCCAACACTTACACAATGACCCATCCCTATACAAATACTTAGAAAAAAGTTTCACTCCAAAAATAAACTGACCAAAATAACTTCTCTGTTGTTTCAAACTTATTTCTAACTTCAAAGCTATTCATTAGATAAATGAAGCGACATGAAGTTTCGAAGTTTTTCCCTCAGTATTATGAACTATATTGAGGAAAAGCAAACAAAATCAACACTAAGCTGGCATTTACTGCTTGCTTTCTCTAATTTTTCAGCAGAAAAGCACCCAAGGAAACGAGCTTACATTTGAAAACAAAAGGCAAAAAAGACCAGATGCATAGCACCAGATAAGAGAGGCTGTGTAAAGAGAAAACTATATGCTATTCCATATTAGTAGAATTCTACTAGTATACTAATGCAAATGCTGTAATCTGATTGGCTGAGCCCTTGAACACTACCAGCCATTAGTGTGCAGTGGCTGGAGGTCGTCTAGGAAATGACGACGTTTTTTTCGTTTTTCCGAAGTTTTGAAGGAAAATTTTGATGCAAATGGATAATTAAATTTCTGAGAAGTCTAAACGAAGGACATTTACGGTTTCTTGATTTTCAAAATGTTGAAATTATTGAAAAAGGTAATGCGCGCACGCTCACAACAAATGACAATTCAATCCGAGCGACCTTTTTCTGGCGGAAAGTTAAATAATACGTCAAGAAATAATTGGAAGCCGGTATTTGAAGTAAATGTTAGTAAGAATTCTACTAAAACAATTAGATTATTCGCTCTCGATTTCTATGAGGTGATAGTTGATGAGGCCTTCGGCCTCGTCAACTATCACCTCATAGAAATCGAGAGCGAATAATCTAATTGTTAATTAGAGGTAAATTGATAGAAATCTAAGGAGGATGGCTAACAGGGCATGGCACTTTTTTTTCCAGTCACTTACAGAATGCAATTTTAATTTCCCGATTTATCATGAATATTTTTTCTGATCTCTTTTGGTATTTCGAGGAAACTAATTTAAAAATTGTTCACCCTTCACGTTGATTAAAAATGAATTAAAATCTAATGTGGACAGTAAATTTTATGCACGCGTGACGCCAGAACTTCCATTCATCGTGAGAGCGTTACGTCACGCAAGAACCTACAAGAAAACGTTACACTAACATATCACGCCTCATCCCGTCTGGAATTTTACACGCTTATTCTTCTAAATTATGTTATCATATTATCATTTAATTAATTAATTAATTAATTCGTTTATTTATCTTGATTGACTTGTCGCTTCATCCTTTTATCGGCAGCTTCACATCTGCGTAAAACGGATTTGTGCTGAATACATTATGTAACGCTGCGAAGGTCGGTCTCTTCTCCGGCTTCAAATCCCAGCATTGTAACATCAGTGAATATGTCTGTTCTGGGCAAGCTTCAGGTCTTTCAAGTCGTTTGTTGTCCTCCTCTAGCATGCGTATTACCTGTGCAAAGATAAAACGATGTTATTTATAGACGATTTCTTTTATGTTTTTGTTCCCACGAATTGCATGCGGGATTTGCGGCTTTTCGTCACTTAAAAGATCAAAGTGGGGGAAACAGGTGCCACTTTTGGCAAATCTTCGTTGAAGCACTCGTTGACTTTCCGATCTGTATTCGACAACACGCGCATTAGGCGATATGTTGCTTAGCAACTAAGAGACGAATACTGTTATCCAGTCCCGTCTGGGAGACTGGGATTCGTCATCAGCTGGTACTTTACACTCGATTTCCGCTATTCTCTCGAGTCTGGTCTACGATCCTCACCAGGATGAAACTTCGGGAGAGGAGAGCAGGCTCCTTTCCTGAACATGTACAGCGGCTGGTAATGGGAACTTGTTCGGCGGAGAGAAGTACAATTGCATAAGTTCGTCTTTTCCCTTCGTTTTAAAAACAAGGATATAGATAGCAAGAAATACTGTGTAGAGAAAATTGATGTCGAGGTGCAGAATTCCTGAAAATCTACATTCGTAAACTTGACCAATCAGGACAGCCAAAGTTGAAACATGCAATTCGAGAAAAGCGAGGGGAAAGTCGCACAAGCTAGACGCTGATTGGCTAGGTAAAAAATAAGCTTGGTCCTGATTGGTTAGGACTTAAAGAAACGTTGAACGTACAATTTTAGACCTTAGCAAGCACAAAACCAAACAAAACCTCTTGGCACTTTCCATTCAACCAAAAATTTCGAGACGGTGACAAATGGTACGGAATTTTCTGGGTAAGTTTCCAGAATATCCGGAAATTGTTGAATTTCCGGAAAGCGAGTCACTCAACCAAAAATACCGGAAATTCGGGGAGGAACATCAAATACAACGGAAATTCCCGGTGAGAAATTTTCGAAAATTTGCGTTGGGTATACCTCGCGAGGTTATCCTCTTTTCGGGAGAATACTCATTCGCCCTAGAAAATGTTCGGAATCACACCTGCTTTATGAGGTCAAATTAACGACAATTGTATGCTAGGCTAGCATGGATTAATCCCTCTTGCGCAGAGAGAATATTCATTACTAGATGTAATATGCAGTTTCTTTAGACCTCTTTAGAAACTACATAACCAGGAGTTATATCACCCGAGCGCGCTTAAAGGCCGATACACACGAGAGGTTTTGTTCCTAGGTTTTGCTCCCGGGGCACGCTCCGTGGGCAAAGCTCCTGGGTTTCCCGGGGGGGGGGCACTGCCATATATGGGCTATATAGGTATGTGCCGCTGTGAAGGGTACGGTTTTCAAGCAGTTTACTCTAGGATAGGGTATATAAATCAGAGCGTTTGGGTCTAGAATATGGTATCATTTTTCACAAAACCGAGCTGGTTGGTTGAAGATTTTATTTAGAGTAAGGAAACCAGGAATTGCCACTCAAAAATATAAAAAAATCAAATCGGCAAGTTTAAATTGACGCAAATCAGCCTCAACAGTGTCGATAGATGGGGGGATTTGGAGAGTTTACTTTAGTATAGGGTAGCAAAATTCAGCTGAACTAGCTCTGGTATAGGCTAAGGGTTCCAGGGTCCAAGCGGCACATCCCCACCTAGAACCAAAGTACCTCCCCCGGGGATATCCGTGAGATAACCGTTGCTCTAACGACTAGGTCGTCGGTAATCGTGCAGCACTCATGTTAAAAGCTGTGGAAAGTAGATAATAAAACTCTCAAGTAATTTCAGGGCTGTCAGTAACCGGAAAAGAATATCGACTGAGCGGGAATGTCCATGAAAAAGTTATGGCTGAGGCCATGTCCAGGGTTAAATTCTCTTAGGTATTAACAACAAAATCGCAAAAAGTGACTGAGGCAAGTGCCTCGGTTTGCCTGTTACGAG